TGTATATGAGTGACAGCCAGTTGAATGTGATAGGGGTCCAAATGGTCAGAGAAAGGGAAAAGAACGAGTACCGAGCAGTCATCCAGTTTTTGACCCTAGAGAAAAGTACTCCCCAACGAATTCATGACCGCATGTCACGAGTGTATGGGGATAAGTGCCCTAGTTATTCCACTGTTAAACGTTAGGCAGCTATGTATAAGGGTGGGAGAACAAGCCTTGATGACGACCCTAGGTCTGGACGTCTCTCAACTTCCATCAATGATGATTCAAACAAAGAGATGGAAAAACCTATACTGTCAGATAGACGTATTACCATTGCTGAACTTGAGGAAGACAGAGGTCTAAGCCATGGGTCCGTTGAAAATATTATTCATGTACATTTACAGTTGACTAAGAGTGAGTGAGTGAATATGGTTTTACGCCGCTTTTAGCAATATTCCAGCAATATCACGGCGGGGGACACCAGAAATGGGCTTCACACATTGTACCCATGTCGGGAATCGAACCCGGGTCTTCGGCGTGACGAGCGAACGCTTTAACCACTAGGCTACCCGACCGCCCCAGTTGACTAAGATATCTGCTCGTTTGGTGACAAGTTTCTTAATTCTGATCTCAAGGAAAATTGAGCTAATTGAGGAGGATTTCGTCAATTTCAAAAAGAGATTAGTAACGGGTGATGTAACATAGATCTCACACTATGATTCCGAGTCAAAACATCAATCCATGGAATAGCACAACTCCACTTCTCCGGGACCATAGAAATTCAAGTCTTCAAGATCAGCGAAGAAAGTTACGGCCACTGTATTCTGAAAAGGGTGTGATCCTTGTTGATTACTAAATGTCAAAACACGATTACCGGTGCCTACTATGCTGATTTACTTCATCGCCTGAGAGATTCTATCAAAGAAAAGCGGCGAGGAATGCTGACTGCTGGAGTTCTACTACTTCATGACAATGCCTCATACCTCTCGACTTGCAAAGGCTGGTGTGTAACAATGTGGGTTCGAAGAGCTTCCTCACCCTCCATACTCGCCAGACCTGGCACCAAGTAATTTCCACCTGTTTCCTTAACTGAAAGAACATCTTCGTGGAAAGCGCTATGACGACAACGATGACCTCAATGCTGCCGTGATTGGGTTTTTCAGGGTGGCTTCAGAAAACGTCTTCCTGACTGGAATTGAACAGCTTCACTATCGATATGAAAAGTGTATTGAAGATCGGGGAGATTCTGATGATATATAAAATTAAAAACACTTTCACAATTGTTGATTTTGTTTGAAAGGCTTCGAACCGTTTGACCTGCCCTCGCAATCTCTATTAAAGTTAATTAAAAAACCACCGATCGCTTGGCATATGTATACTTCAACTGAAGGAATAACATGTCTACAAAATATCTTTTAGTACTGATAAATAGAGGATATTTGTATTTTTTCGCCATTAACATGTTTATCTCATGGAGTGACCTGACATGGGTGATAGTCTCATGTTTTTCGAGATGTCATGTTCTGCACATATGTACAAAAAATAAGTTAAACAAAACATAATTAGTTAAGAATTAAGATCGAGCAACGGGGCCCAATAACTGGACGGAAAGTTTCCACTGCTATGATCCTCAGTCTTCGTGGTATAACAGAAGTCGACTCAAACGTTTTCTTTTCAAAAAAGAGCATTTGCTCATAGTTTGAGAAAAATAAAAAAGGCGCTCATAAGCCCCCTGTCCCTTTATCGTCCAAGTCCTTCAAAATCAGCTGCGACGTTGATCTCTTATATGAGATATTAACATTTGGTGCAGCCTCTTTAAGGATGGCGGTGATTTATCGCGTAGCTATCTTATATAAACAAATGCCAAGTCAGCTTGGGAACGTTGTGTTTTTCACGCAGGTGTTCGCCAGCGTTGTCACGTGATGGCATGATAACGAGTTCAACCAATTAAGGCTCACTTCCGTTGCACGAGTTTTTGATGCGCGTCAATTCTAAATTCCAATTCGAAAGTGTTAAGTTAATTCCAAAAAGCTTAGTACAGTTCATTTAGAATCGAGATTAACATGAACTTAGAGACTTAGTACCCCGTTTCAAATGGATACAAACGTTAAATGTGGAGGTAATTTATCTTCTTTATCATAACAAAACAAACCAAACCAAAATATAATAAAAATAAAACAAACAAAAAACAACTGGTGAGGGTGAGATTTTATTTATCAACCACCATCATTCTTCCAGCTATTTTAGGGGTGCGTTGCAAAGCGCCAATCGCTTGTAAGCGATGTACAGCGATTCGCCTCACAACAGTGCGCTAACTTTCAGCCGCTTGCAAGCGAAACAATCGCTGGCTGAGGTCGCTTCGTTCTCAAACCAAAATGGCGGCTGACTTTGACAGCGGAAGAAGACATTCTTGACTGGATCAACGAGGAAATGAGCAAAGGCAGCTGACACCCCATCATCCTCAGTCTGCTCCACATTTTCAAAGTAGTCATAAATTTCATACGCTCGTCATCGAGCCTCTTCTATTATGATCTTCATAACGTCAAGGCAACCAAGCGGTAGTTGCGCCGCCATTTTGGAAGAGTGCGCAAGCGCTTCCAACTGTTGCAGACCCCGGGATGAGCGATTAATTTGCTTTATCTTAGCGATTCGTGGCTTGCAACGCGCCCCAGCTTGTAGACAGTAATAAGCAGTGTCTTACGTGTACTAAAACAGCTTCAGTAGCAGAGCCATTAGTGATGTCATTTGATTGTGACGTCATGGTAGCCATGGTCACAATGGTCTTCAAAGCATTGTGATGCAATTTCATTGCAGCAATATCTACAGTGTAGATATCGTTTGATCTCACCCAAGCAATATCTCCTGTGGGAACCAGTTTTAGATGATCAATATGTATTATATGTACAAGAGTATTAAAGCTATTATTCATCTGAAATCCCCCTGCTGAAGGAGAACAACTTCGAGTTTAAATGGTATTGTGTATCCCGACCTTACTGGTGAGTGTATAGTCCAGTGCAATTCACAGCGCAACTCCCATCCAGAAGGATCGTAAGCCTATGTTAAAGTATGGGAGTGACGATCGTCTTAGCACTAACATCGCTTTTTGCAAGTGGGCCCAGGTCAGTAACGTTAGACGTTTCCAAGCTTGACACAAGGCAGTATTTCACAGCTATAAACAAACAACTCTGTGGCCTAGCCGGTATAAGAGGATCTAGGTTTGCCCCACTAACATTTTGCATACCTTTGAAAATTGATCTGGTCAAATATTGACCTGCTGTCTAATAAACTGTGAGAGACATAGGCTGTTAACAGAACATGGCTGTGTGAAGACGTTGAAAAGCTAACTCTTTGGCGATTTCTATAGTGTTTTCTGCAACGCATTGCCACATATATGGGTAACCGGAACCCCATATTTTGTTGTTAGTATTGTGCATATCGTTATTTCAAAAATGCCTACTGATAATGGTTAAGAGGTATTTCTTCCTGTTGTTTTAATACCCTTGTGTGTGTCAGATTCTTACAAGTTTGCTATGGTCTGGATTTAATCCCAGAAGGTATACACTATTGGATTTTTACTGTTATTCCCCACGGGGTTGTATTTTGTTCTCTGTTTTAATTAAGAAATAAACGACGAGTGGGAGTTTTTATATTGAACAATAAAACATTACAAAGATAAACCATGAGGGTTTTATTGTACGATAAACAACGACCACGAGTCGTATATTTCTCAATAAGATAACAAAATAAAATGTACAAGCTTTAAACATGTTTACCCGTATTTAAATACTGTTGTATGAAAGGGTGTGCTCCCTCTCTTTTATTTATCGATTCGACAGCATTGTCATCTATATGGGTGTTGCATGAGTTATAGTCTGAGTGAGTGAGTGAGTGAGTGAGTATGGTTTTACGCCGCTTTTAGCAATATTCCAGCAATATCACGGCGGGGGACACCAGAAATCAGCTTAACACATTGTACCCATGTTGGGAATCGAACCCGGGTCTTCGGCGTGACGAGCGAACGCTTTAACCACTAGGCTACCCGACCGCCCCGTCTCATGGGAAACAGGTGGGTATTTCAGCTGACTATTTAATGATTGAAAAGTTGGGGTGGCCTTGTGATTCAGGTGTTCGCTCCTAGTGTCGACCCAAGGTCGATTACCCCCATGAGTACAAAATGGGTCTACTGTGTCACGAGCTAAGGCTTTAACCACTGGGCTACCTGACTGCCCACCTTGATTGAAAGCAGTCCCTGTCACCTATTAATTTAAAAAATAATTTTCCAAAATCCGATGTATATATATTTTCCTCTGAACTGGTATGTTCCGAACGCATGAAAACTTCTTGAAACATTTTGTGAGTTTTGTTGGTTTACTTGTTGAATATTATCCGACGCTGTCTACATTGTATTGTAATAAAATGGAGACTGCTGCTGTCTGTGTTCCCCCAGGCCACATGTGCCCAAGTCACTGCCATCTGTTATTGACATTTGCTACCGATTTTGACTTGTCATTTCAGAAGACACACAACATCTGTAGGATAATTTTCATATTATAACATACAATATTGATGACCAGTAAATGGGTCATCCTTAGAGTTAGTGAGTAGGTGAGTATCGCTTTTCGCCACTTTTAGCAATATTCCAGCAATACCATGGCTGGGGGACACCAAAAATGGGCTTCATACATTGTACCCATGTGTGGGATCGAACCTGGGTCTTTGGCATGATGAGAGAATACTATAACCACTAGGCTACTGCTCCCCATACTTAGAAAATATTTGAAAGCAATACACAAGCAAATAAATATGTAAGTCTGTTTTAAGTCTATGTTAAGGTATGGGAGTTTCGATCACCTTAGCGCTAAGACTGTCGTAAGTCTATGTTAAGTTATGGGAGTTACGATCACCTTAGCGATAAGACTGCTTTGTACAACGGAACCCTGCAAATTAAGTAAGCAGTGGTTGATATGAGGGGTATTAAGGCTAATTCATAATAAAATATTTGAAACAAAACAAATTAATATTTTTCAAAATATTTATTACATTTTAGAAATAAATGTGGTATTGATGAAAATGATTTATGCATAAGCAATCAATGTTTCTTGAACCTCATGATCAAAAACATGATATACAAAATACCGAAGTCACGTTATGCAATCTTTCAGACACAATCCTCCACAATACAAAACAAGGTATTCCAGATTTTAAAGTATTGAACCCAAAAGACTTTCATGAGGAAAATCAAATTAATAACAGCACAGTATGTGGGCATATGTTCACAAATCCTGAAAACATCACTCCTCTTAACAGCTCGTCTGTGTAAGGGCCATTCAATGTCAGGTCTGCAACATGACATCTGGGCTTGTTTGTTTGTTGTTTAAAGCTGCACTGAGCAATATTCAAACTTTATGACTGCGGTCTGTAAATGATCGAGCCTGGACCGGACAATCCAGTAATTGACATCATGATCATCGATCCACGCAATTGGGATACGATGGCATGCATCCAGGAAGTCAGCGATCCTGACCATCCGATCCCGTTAGTCGCCTTTCATGGCAAGCATGGGTTGCTGTCATCTGGACAGGTATAATAGTACCATAAAAGACATGGAAACTGAGAATAGAATTAACCAAGTCAAACCCATCTTTGCCTTACTGGGAGAACCCATCTGACACACTCAAACAGCCTACTTGCTTCGTCTTAAAAAGTGAGTTCGCCTCTATTAAACAGTATTTCAGTTCCGTCATGGCGGCGTGGCAGCTTGATGTGAGAGGAAAGTGTCAAGCGGTGCAGGTCCTCCACATTTACCACTTGCTGTTAACTCCATGTTTCCTGGATGGAGCGGACATACCAAGATTCACAATCAAGTGACAAGATCCAGGCACATCTAAGGGGAGCAACTCTGCCCAGCAAAATGCAGCAACTGAGTGTCCTGAATACAGCGAGACCAACAGGAAAGTGTGTAGCTTTTTAAAGGTTTTTTTCACCTTTGCAACAAAACAATTTGTCATAATTCTAACTAATGTCTCAAACATTAAGAGGCAGTTGTTTAAAACTTTAATGGAAAATGTGTGACAACTAAACTTGATTTCATGACCATCTCTGATATCCTTCCTCTATGTAACATGACTACATATCTCATAACTCAACATTAAATGCCACATACCCAGTACATATATTCAGATCAGATGACAGAACAACAGAATTGATGATCTCATTGTCAGTCAAAGTAGTTTGTGCGAGTTCTATCCCGATACAAAACAAGCCCTACTTACCAGAATTACACTGTCAAGCAGAAACATACACTGCTCATCTACTATAAGTTCTAATGGGAAGCCAGGGACTTATCTAGTGTTCAAACTTAGCGCATTGGCAGACAAACTGGGAAAATTCATTTTGTTTATTTTCTCATATTCAGCGATATCTTATTTTATCGCTGTATCCAAGCACAAAGACTTCTTCCTCTTCATTGGAACTGTTATCAGTGCAATACTTACATAAACTCAACAGTAAGAACTTTAATAAAATGATCTTTTTTTATGCCGCTTTTAGCAATATTACAGCAATATCACAATGGGGACACTAGAAATAGGCTTATGGGCCGAATATCGGCCTCTGACTGGCTCTAGATAAATCCCTGGACGCCTAACAATTGTACTCTTTAAAAAACAGATTAATTAAAACATCTCTGTATGACTCATGGCAAAGTCCACAATAGTGCGTCAAAATCTTCCAATGGGGCAAAGGAGTTGACAGGCAGCTGATGGCTTGAAGAACGACACACCCCTACACATGGCTTGACACGCCCTTACACATGGCTTGACATGCCCCTACACATGGCATATAATGCCGAAAATCCACATCAGAGTCTGTAGACGTTTCCTGGTAATGATGAAGGTCAGAACAGTTTTTCTTCATCCTTACTTCGGAGAAGTCAAAACCTCCCGATCACATTTCATCCAGATTTTGAGGGGTGTGGCATTTACTTCTTTGGTGCTCTGGAAACAAATTTCACAAAATCATTTAAAAAATATCGAAAAGAATTTGTTTGACATTACTTTCAAAAACATTTTACCGTGCAAACAATAACCGTTGACAATTTCTTTTTAATGTAAAATATTTCCATCAGCATTGAAAACTAGAGATGGCTAAAATTGTATTGTGAGTTAGCTAGTTGGGTTTAGCACCGCTTTGAACAGTATTCTAGATATATCACAGCAACTCAGCATAATGTGAGAGTTAAGCCTGTGATGCATGTCTCAGGCAATTAACACTTTGAAACCCATGGGCATGGAGGTATGGTGCTGACAAACCAGGGCGATCTGGGATTCGAACCCACGATCACGGGATTAGGTGTGCTCATGTGATGCACAGTTGTGCACAGAGAATTGTTGTGCCAAAGACAACTGGGACCCTTGCACCCGGGTATCATAACGAGTCATGTAACCATGGTAACAGTTCACCAAACGTGTGGCACTGTGACAAAATATCAATAGTTGAGGTGAAATGGGGTTTCACGTCTCGCCCAAGGTTATTGCACTTATACACTGACGCACCTGTGTGGGTGCGTTTCTGCTTGGACTAGTAGGCTTAAAGTAGATTTTTATCATGTTTGTAGTGCTAGCCCAGAGATAACATGCCACAGTTTTAACATGAATACCCCACTCTGACTGAGCCGACCAGTTCTTGTTTAAGTCAATTTATGCTGAGCAGCAGGCAGGGTATCAACAAGTACCATCTTTTTTAATGTCTTTTGATATGATCAAACCCCGGACCTTCCACCCTCTAGGCAGATGCTCTATCCACTAGACCATGTAAGCAGTCTACATATCCAGAGATGTTAAGTATTGCCTAATGCTGCATCTGCATTACTGACCTATAGCAGCCGACGACCACAGCGTGGTCTCGCTCGTATGGTTCTAATGTGAGCTGTTCCTGGGGCTTGATCTTCTCAGTCTTCAGCTTGTTTACCTCCCCTGCGAACACAGCCTCGGGCTCCGCTGTCGAGTCAATACAGTTCGCCTGAAACATGCATTCAAGTACATTAGACCAAGAGTGAGAGAGTGAGTGAGTGTTGGTTTGTTGTTTTATGCCGCACTCAGCAATATTCCAGCTATATGACGGCGGTCTGTAAATAATCGAGTCTGGACCAGACAATCCAGTGATTGACATCATGAACATCAATCCACACAATTCAGAGAGCCTGACCCCGTTAGTCGCCTTTTACGACAAGCATAGTCGCCTTTTACGGCAAGCATGACTTGCTGAAGACCTATTCTACCCTGGATCTTCGCGGGTCTAGTGAGTGAGTGAGTGAGTGAGTGAGAGTGGTTTTATGCTGATTTTAGCAATATTCCAGCAACATTACAGAGTTATATGCACCCTTAATTATGGGCAATTAAATTCTTGAAAAATGTATCTATTGTGTATAATATGCACAGACTTTTCTTTTGTATCATTTCCACGAAATTTACGATCTTTCAACCCTTTCACTAAAATTATATTCTAATAAGAGCCCCCTATTTCTAATTTTGAGAGTGCCCTGGGCGCTTATTACGTCGAATACGGTATTCTTATTTAACCTAATATTTATCCAACTGGATCTGTGAAGATCCAGGTTAGAAAAGGTCTTCAGCAACTCATGCTTGCCGTAAAAGATGACTAACAGGATCGGGTGATCAGACTCGCTGGCTTGGTAATGCATGTCATCATATCCCAATTGCGTGGATCGATGCTCATGATGTCAATCACTGGATAGTCTGGTCCAGACTCGATTAGTTACAGACCATCGTCATATAGCTGGAATATTGCTGAGTGTGTTATACCAACTGTTCTGGGGGTACACCACTATGTCCATGGTTTCAACAGGTTCCCCTTCTTTGTGGTGCGCATGCCGAAGATGGAGACTCAATTTCATGGTAACAGTCACATTCAGTGGCTTATAATTAGGGTGAGTACACAACTGATCATATTATTGATGCATTGCAATTGTGTTGGGGCACTATAAAAGTCAGAGCCTATAGAGAGAGATTTTATTGTGTGGATTGATGCTCATGATTTATGCCACTTTTAGCAATATAACAGCAATACCACAACAACATTACAGCGGGGGACACCAGAAATGGGCTTCACACATTGTACCCAGGTCTTTTGTGTGACGAGCAAATGCCTTAACCACAAGACTACCCCACCTCCCTTTGTTTGTTCAACATCACAATCAGCTTTATTCCAGGTACATGACAACAATCTGTAAATAACTGAGTCTGGGCCAGACAATCCACAATCCAGTGAATGATATTGTCTGACCAACTGATACAGTTCACATGTGAAGATCCGGGTTAGTAAAGGTCTTCAGCAACCCATGCTTGCCGTAACAGGCGACTAACAAGATCGATGGTCAGACTCACTGACTTGGTTAAAGCAGGTCATTGTATCCCAATTGTGTGGATTGATGCTCATGTCAAACACTGGATTCTCTAGTCAAGACTCGATTATTTACAGAACGCCTTCATATAGCTGGAATATTGCCGAGTGCAGCGTTTAACAACAAACAACCTGATCAAATCGGTCGCCTCTTAAAACCAGCATTGGTTAATAGGGATCTACTCTAAACCGGAATCCCCAAGGGTGTATAATGTATAATGAACCATAACACACATCATATACATTAACAGGTAGTGTTGAGTGAGTTGTTTAAAAGAAGGGTCTCACCTTCACACTGATGACTACGTGGCCACCATTCTTCAGGAACATGTGTGCGTTGATGGCGACGATTCTCGCCTGATCTGGCTGAGCAACATCTGCGAAGATTGTATCCACCATACCTACAAGAAAGGACCAGTTCATACAAAGTGACACAAATATACAATATACAATAGTGATACAAATATTCCAGCAATATTACTGCTGGGGATACCAGAAATGGGCTTCACACATTGTACCCATGTTGGGAATCGAACCCGGGTCTTCGGCTAACCAACTCGCCATAGCCCTTAATGAAGCGGGTCTAGATTTTCCTAAGGACTGATCCTCCCATCTCACTGGGAGCACCTTTTCAGTTTAAATGTAGTTGTTAGTTTCAAATTACCTTATTCGACGTAATAAGCGCCCAGGGTGCTCTCAAAATTAGAAATAGGGGGCTCTTATTAGTATATTATTTTGGTGAAAAAAACAGAGTTGAAAGATAAATTTCCTGGTTTATGCTGACAGCCTGAAATGTTTATATACGACAGATATATTTCTTCAGAATTTAATTGCCCATAATTGAGGGTGCATATTACACACGAGTGCGTGTTATACACGAACAAATAGGTCTTGTGTACATTGATCAATCAGTAAGGGTGCTAATTGGGATTGTTCACTAGCCAATATATTAGCAATGTTGCCGTGGGCACTTATTACGTCGAATAAGGTATGTCTTTTCTGAGTGTCAGTCTACCAAAAGCCCTTACAACACAAGTTATGAGAATTGCAAATAAGTGGGGTTTAAATGCAGCTTTGAACAGTATTTCAGTTACATATACACATCAGGTTGAACACTATAAATATGGGAAGAAAGCCTCATGTGATTCAGGTCTTAGATGTTTACAAGGTGAGGTGAAATGGGGTTCAACATGTTCAAGATTACTGCATTTATATAGACACGTGCACACATGTGTATTTGTGGCTGCTCATACTGGATTTGACTAATGTTGCACAATTCAAATTCTAGTGTGTGGGATGACAGTAACAAGTGCCCGCTGAGGGGGCACCTGTTATAAGTCTTGCCACTTACCAACCAGCATTCGGTACTTATGAGGATGTCGGGCATCCTCTATGATTGGGATGATATTGGGTCTCTTCTTGGCAACATTGATGAGATCTCGGCCACTCCGATGTGAGAATTCTACAGCATACACTAAACCCTCCTGAAACAGAATTGACACAGTCCAGAATAGCACACAGTACATAACCTTCCCAAATTCTCACATTTCAACACGTCTGGATGGAACAGCATCCTTTGTCGTACACTGAATCCACTAAATTTAGTGTCACTTACGATTGATTCTGTCATGTCAGAGTAACCTCCCTTGTACAACGATATATCAAGCTCTATGTTACTATTGACGAGATGAATTTACGTCTGTTTAATCAGTTCAGTTTGAGATTGCAGACAAACGGAAAATCTCCCATTCTCAGACTACTAATTATACACTAAATATAAAATGCCAGTACTTACTGGTCACAAGATATCGGACAGAGTAACCTCCCTTGTCCCACAATAAATCCACCAAATATAAATTGCCAGAACTTAATGGTCACACAATGTCTTACAGAGTAACCTCCCTTGTCCAAAATAAATCCACCAAATATAAACTGCCAGAACTTAATGGTCACACAATGTCTTACAGAGTAACCTCCCTTGTCCCACAATAAATCCACTTAAAATAAACTGCCAGAACTTAATGGTCACACAATGTCTTACAGAGTAACCTCCCTTGTCCCACAATTAATCCACCAAATATGAACTGCTAGTACTTACCGGTCCCACAATGTCTTACAGAGTAACCTCCCTTGTCCCACAATAAATCCACCAAATATAAACTGCCAGAACTTAATGGTCACACAATGGCAGAAAGAGTAACATCCCTTGTCCCACAATAAATCCACTTAAAATAAACTGCCAGAACTTAATGGTCACACAATGTCTTACAGAGTGCCCTCCCTTGTCCAAAAATAAATCCACTAAATATTAACTGCCAGAACTTAATGGTTCCACAATGGCAGAAAGAGTAACCTCCCTTGTCCCATAATAAATCCAATAAAAATAAACTGCCAGAACTTAATGGTCACACAATGTCTTACAGAGTAACCTCCCTTGTCCCACAATAAATCCACTAAATATTAACTGCCAGAACTTAATGGTTCCACAATGGCAGAAAGAGTAACCTCCCTTGTCCCATAATAAATCCAATAAAAATAAACTGCCAGAACTTAATGGTCACACAATGTCTTACAGAGTAACCTCCCTTGTCCGACAATAAATCCACTAAATATAAACTGCCAGAACTTACCGGTCCCACGATGTCGGACACGTGGCTGACAGTTGTTCCTGAAGCTGCACCCAGATACAAAACTTTGGCCCCTGGTTTCATATGAATCTTCTCCACACCACCCAAGATGGCAGCGGCCAACTTCGACCTGAACGGATTCCAGGCTCTGTACTCAATCTTCGTTTCCCCCTCCTGTCATGAAGGGAAAAAAGAAGAAGTGAATATTGTCAAATGACGCAGTCACATCTTGTTGGGTCAAATTTTCAAGTTACATCATGGCATGTCAGCTTAATGTGGGAGGTTTGTTTTTGTTTGTTGTAACGCCGCACTCAGCAATATTCCAGCTATATGACAGTGGTCTGTAAAACAATCGAGTCTGGACCAGACAATCCAGTGATTGACATCATGAGCATCTATCCACGCAATTGGGATTGATGGCATGTATCAACCAAGTCAGCGAGCCTGACACCCGATCCTGTTAGCATAGTGGCCTTCTACGGCAAGTATGGGTTGCTGAAGACCTAATGTGGGAGGAAAACCGGTGATGAAGAACAAGAACGTTTACCACTTGAGTGAAACCCACGAGCAGGGGTATGGTGCTGACAAACCAAGAAACAACTGGGTAAACAGGGATTCCTACCAACAATCATAGTTGTCTGGATATATTTATTCAATCATTTCATGCGAGATTAGTGAGTTAGTTTGGTTGGAGCCAGTTTTAACAGTATTCCAGTGATATCACGGCGTGTCAGCTTAATGTTGGAGGAAAGCCTGAAGTGATGCAGGTCTCAGACGTTTACCACTTCGGTGAAACCCACAAGCATGGGTATGGTGCTGACAAACTTAAAACATAATCGGGTGAACCGTGATTCGAACCAACAATCATAGGTTTCTGGCGTTCCCAAGGGACACAACTCTGCACAGCGAATCACGGCGCCTTAGGGGCCACCCGTGCCCCCCCCCCCCCCCCCCCCCCCTTGCGAGATGAATTAACTATGATGATGTACAACTGACCTCAACGCTGATCTTCTTCTCCCCATAGACAGTCTCCCCAGGGGTGAGGTTGAGGGTCACCAGAGCGTCCTCCTTCCCTCTTGCAATAAACACACCTAAAACATTGAAACAAAACTCAAATTATGCACATTGCCATCCCTGCAAGACACACAGGCTGTCAATCAGTCTGGCCAGACGAACCAGTGATTGAAAATACACATGGTACTTCAGTTCCATCCCGACGAGATACATCAGCTTAACGTGGGAGGAAAGCCTGAAGTGGTGCAGGTCTTCTGATCCATGAAGTCAGTTTGCTTGTTTGTTGTTTAACACTGCATTCAGATAAATTCCAGCTACATGACATGTCTATATGTAATCGAGACTGGACCAGACAATCCAGTGATTGATATCATGAGCATCGATCAATGCAGTTGGGATACGATGACATACATCAACCAAGTCAGCGAGCCTGACTCCCCGATCCCGTTAGCCCCCTTTTGACAAGCAGAGTCACCTGTTATGGTAGACATGGGTTGCTGAAGACCTATTCTACCCCGGACCTTCATGGGTCCCCACGAAGTCGCCTCGAATGACAAGCATTAAAATAAAGATTCAAATAAAATAGCTACACCCCATTTAATCGCAAAAAAAAGAACAATGAAGGGTGCTCGATTGCGCAATAAGCCACTGTTTCTTTTATAACGTCATTTCTGGTGATTCGAACATGCCCTCGCAAACTTGATGACGTTGTAAATTGGATGCCATTATTTTTGAGAGGGACGTGTCTAGTAAGTTGTCCCTAGTAGATCCATCTCGCCAACTTAGATACACACAATGGTCGAACAATCGCACCCAAAGTGGAAGAGAGATGACAATCAGGAGAAAGGGTCAGAAACTTGACGTGAAAATTGAGAGATTATCTGGGACATACCAAACTTAATCCCCCTGTTCACAAACCATGGACATTGCCATCAGGAGGTCAGATTGTATTCAGGGAGTCGTCATTATTTAAATACAGGTGAACAATTTTAAAGCTTTGACATTTTACTAACATCCCTAAAGAGGTTGTACATAATTTTGATATCTCTTATAAGAAATATACGACCTGTGGTCATTGTTTTTCTTACAATAAAACACTGTGGGGAGAAATGAAACACTCGGGGCTGTGCCTCTCACGGTGTATTCCCCTTGCACTGTGTGCCCAGAGTGTGATCAACAATGAGACGTTTATTTCTTAAACATACAGAACAAATAAATGACTGACCTTCGTGTCTGTGGGGCTCTACTACCACCTTCCTGCCGCCTCGCATGCCACCGCGGCCTCCTGTAGAAGACAACATTTACCATCAATATGGACACACCATTTAGGTCACAGGAAAAATGTCTACCCAAGCCAGCTCAAGCCTACCCACGTTTACTTCAGGAAATAGTTCTTTGTTGTTGAATTAATGCATAGTTAGTACGTTACTATCACAGCACCAGACATCTTCCCGAGGCAAGAGGTACACTAGCCTTTTTATCAAAGTTCCACCCTTGCCACATCAAGCCCACTTTCCTGTGCTAAATATGATTGGACTATCACACATTGAAAAATGCAACATAATATTTATGTCTGCATGCTCCAAGTGCATGTACAAAATATATTTTTAAATTAGTGTCTGATTAACCCTCGTGTCCACACAACACAATCTTTAAAAACAATCAATATCTGTTTTTTCGCCCTACCACATCACTAACTGCTTTGTCCTGTGTAATTCCTGATGCATGATAGTCACCACAGATCTGGGATTGTACATATCTATGTTTCATCTTGGATAAATTGATGGACCAGGGTGCAACCTGGTTTTAGTCTTGTGCAACTTGGTCTTCATGTCAACACGCACCTGGTTCACTTAAATCAAGTTCCTTAAATGGAACCCTGAATAATTTCAGAAGATATACCGTATTCAACATAATAAACGCCCAGGGCGCTCTCAAAATTAGAAATAGGGGGCTCTTATTAGAATATTATTTTAGTGAAAAACAACAGAGTTGAAAGATCGTACATTTTGTGGTTTATGCTGACAGCCTGAAATGTTTATATACGGCAGTGAAATGTGAATATTTTGGGGGCGTATTTTATGCAAATACGCTGCTTATCTGTAGCTCTGCTTAACAGCTGAACCTAATTATGTAAATATCAAAAGGTAAGAAAACCAAGGTCTTTACTTTATTGCTGGACTTATGATAATGATCGTCAAACGTTTTTAACTGTTAATACAATATGGTGATGATACCATACCTCTGCCTCCTCGACCTGGAAAGAGAAAGAACATTCTGATTACAAACACCACTGCATCTCCAGCTCAGTTTTGATACAATATTTTAAAAATGATCATTCTGAGGTCTGATCAAGATCAATGGAAGGCTAAGCTTCAAGTATTCAAACATGTTTTGCTTGTTTGTTTCTTGTTTAACGTCTTACTCAGCAATATTCCACCTGTATGACGGTCTGTAAATAATCAGGTCCGGACCAGACAATGACATGTATTAATCAAGTTGGCGAGGCTGACCACCTGCTCCCGATAGTCGCCTCTTAAGACAAACATGGTCGCCTCTAACGGCAAGGACTTTCTGTTCATTTCTTCAACAGTGCAGTTGCCAAGTATTCTGTCCATAATATAAGCGACATGAATTAATATGATTGAAATATGTACTCGCCGAGTGGGACGAGCATTTGTTCAGCCCTAACCATGAAATTATACTTGCATGTAAACAGAAATGAACAAACTGTCATGACTTACCACCGCCTCCTCTACCACCTCCCCCACGGAAGCCACGTGAATCTCCGCGTCCCCCGCGGAAACCCCCTCGTCCTCCTCTGTCTCCAAAGCCACCGCGTCCTCCTCTGTCTCCAAAGCCACCGCGTCCTCCTCTGTCACCACCCCTGCCCCCTCTGAAGCCTCCCCGTCCACGGAAACCACCCCTGTCTCCCCGAGGAGAAAATCCTGCAAAAGAAAATATTTACTTAATCAACATATGATTATCAGGTAACCGAAGTCAACATATTGAACAATTTCAAAGCACTTGTCAACTTTAGATGTTGAAGTGCATCAAAGCTCCCTGACATTGACAGTTCTGAAGTATTGTTTGCAAACAACAGGCGATAACCACGACTCTGCTTGTCTTATTCCACGAGAGAAGTTTTTGCCTCAGTGACCACACTGTGGGAGTAGGGTCATTAGGTCGGGAAGTTCTTCTTTCCAGTGATACCCATGTTTTGTTTCTGCAACGTGATCGGCTTCATACCACCAAGGCATAAATATTGTAATCTAGACTTTGACAAACACTGGCTTCCAAATTAATCTGCAATTAATATTTTATAGTTGCTCCGTAAGTAAAAACACACATTGCTTTTTTTTCAATTTGCCTCCAATAAAAACATGACCGAAGTCAGTTATTCTGCAAATGCTTGGGTTGTCTTTGCTGTGAGTAGATCTATTGTTTTAGTATGAGAATCAAATTGTGCATGAAGTTCTAAAGGAATTGTTTCATGTATGATTTATAAACACCCTGACCCGATAATGTCCTGGCCTGTTATGCTTTGTGCTTTAAAGAACTGTGTTGACTTCAGTGGACACAGTCTCTGTGCCAAAAACCTTTTGCTTCTATTATTGGCTCTTGAGTCTTTGCATAATTTGTTTGTACAGTTAAGTGTTATGGACTATTATTAGCTGAGTTTACTGTTTTTTGTTTGTACCCCACACTCAGCAGTATTCCAGCTATTTGACAGCGGTCTGTAAATAATCAAGTCTGGAACAGACAATCCAGTGATTTATATCATGAACATCGATCCATGCAATTGGGATCGATGACATGCATCAACCAAGTCAGTGAACCTGACCACCAGATCCTGTTAGTCGCCCTTTACGACAAGCATGGGTTGCTGAAGACCTATTCTACCCCAGATCTTCACGGGTCTGCTGAGCTTACTGGACAGAACAGAATCCTACAGTTCTTAAGATTCTGAAGTTCCTTAAGTCACTAACTGCAATAATTACATGCACTGCAATAATTACATGCAGTCAGCATAACGAATAATATTGTTGTTGCAGGTTTATGAGCCAATGTTTCTGTTCAAAGCAAAGACTTATCAATCGTTAAAATTTTCACCACTAGCTCTGAAATGGTTCCCAACACCCAAACAATAACTTGAATAAGCCTTGTTATTTTTTCACTGAAGCAACACGAGCCAATTTGCTCCTAACGAAAAAAAAACACATCAGCTTTGACGGAGATGAGTGGGATGTCAACAGCATATAACTGTGTACTACAGAAAATAAGAGAAAGCTAGAACTGCCTCGTGGCTTAATTTAATTTTGGTACACGTGTTAGGAAGCTCCCTGCAAATTTATCAAACTGTGATGACTCCAAAACTAGACCCTAAGGTTTAGGTTACGGATTGAACTAAAACAGTCAACTGACGAAGTTCCATTACATTATGAATTATGTTCCAAGTCGGATACCGATCACAACCGACTTGAACACTCCATACTTTACTTGATCTTCGCTACCGCGGCGGCAGAATCTTGAAATTTAGTTTTGTATTTAGGACAGCAAGGGTAACATAACACGCAACTATTGAGACTAAATAGGCATTATGTTATGTTACTTGAATAAAAGGTACATAAGCAAAGAGAAATACATACCTGGTCTCCCCATAATTGCTTAAGTTGCTTGTTGAAATGAAATGTTTCGACCACGTGCGTGTGTTGATTTGGAACTATCCCGTCATGCAATTGATTTCCGACAAAGAACGATAACTCTTCTTGAAACACACTCGTCACGGGTCGAGTCCATCGAGCCCGGTATTAGAGAGCTCCGAAAGCGGGATATCGCTGTGAGGAGCTTGTCGGAACCCGTAAGCTTTAAGTCGAAATCAAAAGTACGACATATTTGGAATATACTGAGTGTTAGAGGTAGGCATTTGCTTACAGAAAATTACATGTTATTTCTCTTGTCATCAATTTTATTTTGTCCAAAACAGGACAAGTGAATCATTAGGCATATATTCGGATGATAATTGTCTTTTGACGATTGTCCCGGTCTGGTACTCGATGCAAGTATCAGGCTGAGTATGATGGGATACACTGTCACTTGTTGAACAAGCAATTAATATCCTGTTCTAGACTAACGGCGCTTTGTTTCTGAAAATGTTCAGAATTTTGATAGAAACAAACAACTCCATGTAATTAAACAACAAGAGTCCCAGTGTGGTGTGAGATTCCGATGTGTTGAATATGTAGACTTACTTCATTTAGTGCTAAAGCATTATAGTAAGCATATTGGGGATCGGCTGATGGGAAAATAGTATCATTGTATGGTTCAGCCATTTGTCTTAATGATAGAACAATTTCATAAAAAACGTTTGTCGCCACCAGGATTTGAACCTGCGAAGTCCGCACGGATGGCTAACGAAGTCAGTCTTCTGCCACGGGGACATGGGAGAAAGGGTGTGAAATTAACAACTAAATATTAAAGGGGCACTGATCTAACGCAATTCCCCGGGACTGGTTGTTGCCTTTGTTATTGTTTTTTCCCAGTGAGTACCCGGATGTATAGCAGAAATCTAGACTAGTTCGCGACCTCTGATGCGCCATTCGTAAGCGCATTAGTCACTTTTATGGGTAGTAATAAGGGCGTATGGTCACATTGATCAACAAAATGAAATACAGTTTTCGAGATAATAAGGAAATGTAGGCATCTTTGTGAGTAGCATCGGTAATGGTGACGAAGTTTTGATAAGTCACTAGCTTGGTAATTTTGCGATTTTCGTTTACACTATTTTGACTTGCAACACAAAGTATATATTTCACCTGAGCATATGCTTTTTTAAAGTGTGTATATTTTGTTACTGTCAAATGTGTAACAAATTTATTAAACGTCTAAATATTCAGTTATTTTACAAAGTGACTGAAAAACATTTCCATCTGTATTATTATGATAACGAATTCCAAACATTTTGATGTTTAATGTCATCACCAAGAGACTGAAAATGTTACGTTGAAAAGTACATTTCTATGTTGTTTGGCTTCTAATCCAACATAATAATCTGTTGTGATGTTGTTAGGCCCTTTTGGTCGTCTTAATCAATTTTAGTCAATCTGAAGAATTTCCCAACCAAGACGTAGCGGAACAAGAACGAATCGGTTCAATGCTACAGCCAATGAAGGAAAACAAAATGCAGATATCATAATTACAACCTACCAAATTTATGTGTATAAGTTTTAGGCAGCTTCCTTGTTCGAGGAATGTATCCGTGAATATCCACACAAAGGAACAATATCCCACTCGTCTGCAGCTGTACAAAGAAACTTATTCGATGTCACGTGTCTCAGTAACAATCAAATATTTTAAAAGATATATATCGTTTCGGGATATTATAACCCGTGTTCGTTTCTCAACTGATCGCTTGGATTGTTTCAGGTGTTTTACATAGGTGTCAAGTCTCAATGGTCGGCTGAGAAAGCCCACGTGACAACTATTTTCATAGCGATCACGGTTCCTAAAAATTCCATTGAGTGATAGATAACAATGATCAATCAATCAACGTATTATCAGTTAACCCTTTGAACAAAGTATGTTGTTTTTACATCGGCACTTCGCGCCATGATATGAGTGTATTCCCTTTGTTTTAGTAAACCTAGACATGTAAACACTCACTCTTGACATATCCACTGTGCAAGATAACAGTGATTAATCAATCAACATATTTTCTGTTAATCCTTTGATGACTAGGAACGATCCGTTGATTTACAAAAAAAAGTAAATCAAGTGATCATTCATCTCTTGCTGGGCTGCCACGTGCATATTACATAACACACATTTCACCTTACTTCAAACCTGGATTTAGATTGAATAATTACCCCAGACACAATAAATGCCAAATGGGAACCTTTGTCAGGTAATATAAGTGGTGCTACCACTAATTGTACCTGTAATAAATTCATTAACTGAGCATCAAGTGAATGACGACAAATACACAAGTGTAGGGTTATACAAGAAAACGTGGATGACAACAAGGGAGTAGTAATCGTATTATCGACGCAAGCCGAAATCCGAAAATGCTTTCACTGCATGGATACTGTTTTTAGTATTAAACTATAACCATCTGGGGTATTTCCAAATGACGACGTCCGATGAGCTCCCTTGTTCTTTTTGTCTGTTTGTTTAGGCTGAAGAAATGAATTAACATGCGCCCTTTGTCGAAATCTTTATAGATCACAGTTAACCAATCAGTGTTCAAAAATGCGTAAAACAAATATTGCCTCCAGCCTCCAAGATTATTTAGCTGTCCTTCCAGACGGTACCCCAGTCTCTGGTCACGCTCAGTTGCGTTGCGTATCATCCGGGTACTCACGGGGGAAAAACAATAACAAAGGCAACAACCAGTCCGTTAGATCAGTGCCCCTTTAACTTACATCAGTACCAACTGCTTATCCCTTTATGAACTGCGAAATGAGTATTATGCAATTTTTATACAGTATGTTACTCGATGCATTCTTGTATTTGTACAGTACTTGTGATTTTGAAGCTTTTCGTTCACCGAAACAAACAGACAGAAAAGAAATTACTATTGATCAGGGCTATATTTGCTCATAATAGGCCAATCAACATGGGCAAGTAATGTTCAGTTGATTGATAAATGTGCTCGAGTTGGTCCAAAATGAATGGTGTACTTGCCCCAGGACATTCATTTCATAACCCACATCGGCAAAGTGCGAGGTGCACGTGCGAAAGGCTTGGGGAACACATTTCACGTGCTTCACGAGGGCCGACTCACACAGTGTTCTCACAGTTGAGCATAGAGTTCCTGAATATCTTTCAAAATGCCTTTAACAAAACAATGTTTTTTAAGCGTTTTAGGTACTATAAATGTTGGACATGGTTTAAATAAATTAGATCCCTCCTGCGCCCTTAGGTATCTAACTGTCAAATTTTAAAAGTTGGATCCCTGCTTGGAGGGATCTAATTTATTCTTAGTGTTTTCTGAAACAACAAAAGTAGACATTAAAAGCTGATTACTTTCCTGGATTTTCACCCATAGCCTTTCTAACCACTGATACAATTTGGGTATGCATTAATGTTCGTTTAGATCATCTGTCTGTGTTTCAGATTAATGTGACGTGATGGAGATGTTGTCACTGAGACTAGTTACATTCTTTCTGCTGGTCTGCTTCAGCGTCATCTTAGTCAATGGTAAGGATCTCGCAACATGAGGGAGATATGGGTGGCCCAGTCAACGAAGGTTTCACAATGGGCGATCTTTTTCAATTTATCTTCCCTTCACTAACCCGCTAGGTGCGCTGACCCGGACGGTCCAACCTTAAACTGACGGCGCATGTGGTATGCGCAAAACGAGCACTACATGTTACTATGACGTCTATAGACAGTTAACTAGTATAACCCTCACCTCTGTCGGCAACAGTCACGCTTGTGTGTGGACAGCATATCTTTTCGCCTAAACAATGATTTATCTATTGCCATGTCCGGAAATAAATGTTCCTTGATTTAATGATACATCAGGGATGACCATGACTGATTGTAATGTATAGTTATCCACTAGATAGGCGTTCAAAGCGATGCAGTGAGATCAGCTGATCGTTCATCCCAGGTCGCTTTGTTGATCGGTACTGAAAGTGTTGGCCTTGATGTATGAATATGAAAATTAAGTAGATTTTGTATACGTTCCTATATCTATGTTGTAGCATCGCCGGGCAGGCTACATCATATGCATGCATTTCAGTATGTACAACGGTGAGGCGATACGGTACGCGAAATGTGAAGGTCTCATGCGACGTTGCCCGTAGCATGAGCAATGTTGTGAATATTGACAGCAACACATGTACGAGCGTAAGTATTTGTCGGATATATAACAGAGAGCAATGAGAAATTTTCTCAAGATATTGTAAGAGTAACAGGAACTGTAAAATTACGTCATCAACTAGATTTCATGATACAATGTTCAAAATAAAAGAAATGGAAATCACTGAAATCTGTTTTGATATTTAAGGGTTAATTGGTGCATGTTGTATACAAGGATTTTATGTATATGAATGGTAGCTGTTTGTTGCCAAATACTACCATGATTATATTTCAATATGATCAATGAAATATATATATTATATTGGCCTTTTTTTAATTTTACAAAGTAGAAAAAAAAATTCAGACACAGAGGACCCTATATATTAGTTAAAATACATATTCAAGAGTATTTGTACCAACTACAATTTTTATAAAATAAAACAATATATTCATACTCATTGCTAATCTCTATAATGTTGATTGTATTAACAATGCAGTGTCTACATCCAGTTTGCATTGACAATAATCATATGATTGTGACACAGTAAAGCTGATTCTTAACTTCATTAGGCCTTGCTTTTTATGTTTCCTTGTTCTAAAGCTTTTTATGTTTCCTTGTTCTAAACTGATGTTTCAAATTCCAACATAAACAAATTATTAATCTTTTTGTTTTTTTCTCTTCACACCAAAATATATCTGCATTGCACTAGGACTCTTATTATTTTATTGAATATCATGGCACACTTGTGCATGTGTACTAGTATTTGATAACACATGCATGACTTTTTAGCTGTCATCTGTTTCTGAACTGAATATTATGCTAATAAAGGTAAGTAACATTAAAAAGGGACTCTGGTATTCTTTCAGGTTTGGAGAATCAATCAATTCATTGTGAAAACATTTTTAATTTCTTACATAAGTTACTTTGATCTTGATAAGATCAAAATAGATCCAAATTAAATTGAGGAGGATTAAATTATGCAGTCTTATTCATTTCAGCCAGTCTGTCTAAAATCAAGTCCTATTTTTCAGGCAATAATAAATGAATGAAAATTTAAGAAAAAATATGCCTTACCTGAGTGAATCAGTCAATATGCATATTGACTGAAATTTTCAGTCAAAATACATATTGGGTCTGATTATAGACACTGACTGTAACATATGTAAGTATAATCTGTTATATGCAAAAACAAATAACATAAATAAATCCATTTATCTACATGGAATGACTGTGGGGTTCAATTTGCATTTATTTAACCATCAGAAGATTTGATGATAAACTTTCATATTCATATTTTCATATAAATATACTTTATACTACAGGTGTCTTGAAGTACTGTTGAATGAAAATCAGGATACTTAGGATAGTGTGTGGGTTTGTATGGGAAATAATTTGTCAACATTAAAATAAATATGATGTTACTAAAACAAGAAGATAAAACTATGATTAAGATCTATTTATGCATCATACACATTTTGTGGGGTAGTCAGTATGATTTGTTGTTTGTTGGGACAAATCTCTGTAATTAACTACTATTTTAAGAGCATGAGTATCAGAATTCTGTAAGAAATGATGGATCAATGAATTAACACCTGTGATGACTCAGAGCACTTAATGGTGGGACACATGTTATAAGGGGCAGAATAATATGGGTAAATCTCTTATTTCAAAGAATGATGACTGGTATGTATATTGCAAATCGAGTAACTGAGTGCTCAATTGATGCATGGTAGATGTTCATTTGGCCTATTTCTAAAAAAAATAATGTAAATTTAAATATTCAGATGCAACTTTAATTTTGATATAAAAAGATACATTTAAAATCAGTTGTTTTATTATGTTGAATGTTATTTCTTCTTAAAATATTTGTAAAGGCACGGATGTATACCTACTTTATAGATCATTGGTAAAGGCCTGTCAAAGATGTCTGTGTGCTGCAAATGTTGGCGTATCACTAGTTTTATTACATTGGAGTCCATGGCAGTATTTGTTGAGATTTGAATGCTTGAATTGTTGTGGGAAATAACACAAAGGCTGATAAATAAAATGAGTTTGCATTATGTCATCGATGCAATATGTTAGCCCAGACCGACTAATGCCTCGCTGTTTTCTGACGTAGAAAATACTGTGGCGATATACCATTTTTCATGACGTTTTGCCCGCTATATTCCAAAGTGACAATTCGTCTTGTAGTTGAAGACTCAACAAATGTTCATATTACAAACTAATAATCACTACAAAATATGTGCTAGTTAAAAATATTCAGTTGTAAACGACCGTTTTTGAACGCAGGGGCAACAGGATAACTCTTTAGCTTGGCTCCGTCTCTACATGTCAGTAGTTGTCGCAGCGCGCATTGATCCGGGAACCAGACCGGAAGCGACAGTTTGGACCGTCGCTTATATCATTTCAAAAGGAGAGTTATTGCCCTTTGGAACAAAAAGATCGCCCATTCTCTGTTCAATTCACTCCCCTTAGACATGCCAGGATCTGCTGATCTAAGATTCACCTTGATTAGGATCCTTGGATGTTAGCACCATACCCATGTTCATGGAATTACAACCTGCATCACTTCAGGCTTTAACCTTTAGCCTGCTGAATTATTTTCACACTTCTTACCCCTGCCTGCTGGATTAATTTTAGCATAAGGCGCTCTAAAGAGGGTGGGTGATTTCAAACAGTCGGTGCCTCATTAAACAAGGGCCAATTGAAGAAATATTTTGCACATTTATTCCTGATAGAAAACTACACAATTCTATATAAAAAATATCCTGATGTTTTCAATCATACCAAGGTTAAGACCAAAGCGAACACAAAATTTGTAAATTTTCTTGAACTTACCTGAACTGCGTTATTGAAGGTGGTTTGCATTTCATGCTAGGAACCTTTTAATATCGTAACATTTGTGCAAATTGATTTCAATAATCATATCTCCGATATCTTAATTTTAATTGAGTAAAAATTCGGGTTTTATAATCGGCATATATCAGCGCGATGGTAAATTAGGAACCATTTCAGTGAATTTATTATCTAAACGTTAAACAGAAAAATAACTTAATTTTCGAGGTCATCATGTCGGTTGCAGAAATACGAACATTCGGGTTAATCTGACGTGTCATGTTATAAAATTTGCAGGAAACAATTAATGACTTATAAATATTCACTAATCCTAATTTCAAGCGTTTTGGTTGAATATTTACAATATACAAAAATAAACAACCCGTGTCATGAAGCTAGCAGACGTCCTAAAATCAAACATGGCGCGCTTCGCCCGACCTCCGCATAACTTATTGCTATTTTAATATCAACAAAGTTTCCATTGCCTTTATAAATGTAACTTGGCGAAAGTTGATGATCTTCTCAATCGAAGAATGTTTTATTCGTCATATTCCAATAAATATGACGAGAGAAAAATAAAAATAAAGATCGTGAATTCTGACAGCACTTTTTCAATAAGTGCAAAGGTCACCGGATGTGATGTCACAGACAGGGGTAGTCTGCTGATAAGCTTTCGAAACCAAACAATTACAGTAAATTTTGAAATAGTTCGCCTATCACATAGAGCAAAAATATAAGTCGATACACAGTATCAGTAATCACCACTAACATGAAATAAAAATGTGACTTTGACGATATAATTCGCGTATTAGTTAATCCGTTTGACCTTGCATGCTCCAATGACCCGGAGACGGTAGACGATAAATCAACATGCCACATGCAAGTTTCTCGGTATCTTTTATTTGAACTTCTGTTGATATTTAAGAATCACCATTCAATGTTGTGAATATAAATGGGACATGATTCATATTTCTGCGATGTACACGCTGATAAGTTTCACTACAACAAGTGTATCCCACGTAATGCGTCTATGGATATCGTCGATCAGCAAGATCACCCTCAACAACAGGTGCACGAAAATGGGCTCAACAAAACGTGTTTCAAAATAACATCCCCGCGTTGCTGAATATGATAGGGTATATATAAGCAATAAAATGCTACATACATATTTTCGGTGTAAGTTCCACATTACATTTAGGATAGTTTTCCTTTCGGGAAAACATTCATAGATTCTAGCATGATTCTAGAACAGTTACACGAAGGATTTCTAAATTTATTAAAAAAATATGAAGACCACCATGGTTGCGTATTGATGATAGATTTGTAATTGTTAAATTATTTACAGCTGTTTACAGGTTTTAAAATTTTAAGTTATATTTAATAGTTATTTTTCCCACAATGATGGTGTGTGGGGACAGTAAATATTAGTCTTTGCATCAGCACAGTGTAACTGATCAAACTTCAATTATTATCTTTAGTTTAAACATATTTATTCAACAATTATTATCTTTCACTCTGAAAATCAACTATGTGAATAAGTAACTCTCTGATGTCA